GGATACGGAGGCTGAGGGCGGTCCGGGAAGCTCCGAAGCACCCGGTCTTGCGGGGGCTCAGGGCCCCAAGTTCCGTAGCTCGGGTCGGGAAGGGGACAGTGAGAGCTGCCCAAAGTTTCTCGCCCCGCCTCGCAGGAGGCTGCGAAGGTGTCTCCGAAGTTCCAGACCTGGGGAGGGCGCGAAGGGACCCCGAGATTCTGGACCTGGGCATGGAAGGGGGCAGAGGGTCCCCAAAGTTCAAGAATCCGGGCGGGGCGGAGGATCCCCGAAGTTATGGGCCTGGGGTTGGAGGAGGCAGATAATATGGTCCCGAAGTTCTGGACCCGGATCCGGGTCGTCACGGGGATCTTGGAGTCCCAAGGTTGGGGACCGCATATCCCGAAGTTGCGGCGCGCACTGGGCGCCCCATTCCTGACGCGTGTGGGGACTCGATCCTGACTGTCAGGATCCCGGACCGGGGCACCTGGGTGGGCTTCGCCCGCACAAGCGATTAAGGATCCCGGGCACCGGGCGGGGTCGGGCCCCCTCCGGGCGCCTCGCGGCCCGCGGCGTGAGGGGCATGACTAGTTGGTGAGTAACTTTTCCCAAACGCGCAAGTCACGGCAGGAGCGCCCCGTCCGGAAGGGCCGGAGTTCCTGGGACCCCGGAGCCCCAGCCTGACCCAGGACTGCCCCCAACCTCGGCCGGAGCTGTCGCCCCTCCCCCACCAGGGGCTCGGGTTTCAGACCCCGTGACCAGGACAGCAGCTGCCCAGGACTCGGGTGGGGGTGCAGTCCCCCTTGACCACGGAGACCACTAAGCCCGGGCGTCCCTTCCCCCAACTTGCCTCCCCTCCCCCAGGTTCCTCCTGAGTCCCCTGCAGATACTCTGGATGCAAGTTTGAGGGGTAAGGGGAGGGTCAAAAAATCCCCCCATCTCCCTGCCCCCCGCAGCTATTCCTGGCTTCTGTGGGGTGGTGGCTAGAGAGAGGCGTGTGGGGAGCCCATATTCAACCTTGGTTCCACTCAGCCCCCTTGGTATTGGGAGTGAGTGGTGATGGGAGATCTGGTAGTGGGTACCAGGGCGGTCCTGTTTGGCTGCATCTTGTCTTTTTGACAAGGATGGGGGCGCTCCCTGATTGGACTTTGACCCCGAGTCTGTGCTCTGGGAGGCCAGTGGGGATTGGTCTCCCAGTAGCACCTGGTGATGCCAGGCTTTGCTGGAGGCTCTGGCTTGAGGAGCGATAGGTGAATGTGTGGGAAGTACTGAAGGGGAGCTGGCTTCGGCCTCCTCAACCCACCCTGAGACTGAGGCTGCTTCACCACGGTTTTAATAACCCAGATGAGGCTAGGTTTATGCTGAGATGTCAGGGGCACCTCTCGGACTCCTCTCGGAGAGCCATCTCTTGCCCAGGGTGTTGTCGGAGCTTCTCCAGGTGGAGAGAGGCAGGGTCTCCTTGATCTCAGTGATCTACTGATTCTCTCACCTTTTTGGTTGAAATTCCATGAATGGTGCACCTGGTGGTGAGTCCTGAGGTTGGACCTGCTTGGCCTCCCTCAGCCTGTCCTGGGGGGACACTCACAAGTCGTTTCTACCCCAGAGGTCGAACCAGCAGCTCCTGCCACCTCTCTGGCTGCCCCTTGGAGCCCACCTAGCCCAGCCTGACCAATGTCCACAGCCAGGTGAGCCGCTGCCTCCACCGGCTTGGCCCTGAGCCCTCTGGGGGGTGCCTAGTCCCCACTGAGCACCCTCTCCCCATGCAGGGAGCAGCCCATCTTCAGCACCAGGGCACATGTGTTCCAGATCGACCCAGCTACCAAGCGGAACTGGATCCCTGCGGGCAAGCACGCACTCACTGTCTCCTACTTCTATGATGCCACCAGAAATGTCTACCGAATCATCAGCATTGGGGGTGCCAAGGTGCTGGCAGGGCCTGGTTGGGGTGGTGGGTCTGGATCTGGTTGGTACCTTGCTGTGTGCCCAGGGACAGGTCTAGAGGAGCCCTGACCCTTTCTGGGCCCCAGCCTCTTCGTTGTGACATGGCTCCGACAAGGACCTCGGAGGCACTCATATAAAGTGATACCCTAGTTGCTCTCATGTTCATTATTTAACAGTTCCATTGACCTTGAACCTTCCTCTCCTTTCCCCAGGCCATTATCAATAGTACTGTCACCCCCAACATGACTTTCACCAAAACCTCCCAGAAGTTCGGGCAATGGGCAGACAGTCGTGCTAACACTGTCTACGGCCTTGGCTTTGCTTCTGAACAGCATCTGACCCAGGTGGGCCTCAAGGGTACATGGTGGGAGGGACAGGGCTGGGACTGTGTCCTCTCTTGGGTGCACTGGGGCCCCTGGTCAGGTGCTGGGCCTCCACCTTTCCAGCTGCAGAAGTGGAAAAGCCAGAAGCCCTTCCCTTTTCCCTGCTTCACATCCCAGCTCTGCAGGACACCTCCAATTGCAACACACCTTGCCCCTCTCTGGGTTCCAGGAATGGGCTGGGTGCTTCCCCACACTCACTAGCACTGTATCATCCCTGCCCTCCACCCTCTGCTGTCTTTAGACGTCAGTGTTGTTTTATCCATTGTTTCCCTGGATGGTTGGTTTGTGCTCTCTGAGTCCCGCTGAGAGCATGACAATTTTCTTCTATTAGCTTTTGTTTTCCTTTCATATTTAGGTCTTGAATTTACTTCTGTGGGTAGTGTATGGTAGGAGTATTTATTCCCACAGTAGTATCCAGTTGATCTTGGGTCATTTTAAAATATATATATTTTATTTATTTATTTTTACAGAGAGGAAGAGAGAGGGGAGAACAGAAACACCGCTGCCTCTTGCACACCCCCTACTGGGGATTGAGTCCACAACCCAGGCATGTGCCCTGACCTGGAATCCATAGGTCAACGCTCAACCACTGACCCACACTGGCGCAGCGATCTTGGGCCATTTTTGAAAAGACCATTTGCCCCCAGTGAGTTGCGCCAGCCCCTTTGCACAAATCAAGTGGCTGTATAACTGTAAATATTTCTTTTCTTTTATTTTTTAAAATATATTTTTATTGATTTCAGAGAGGAAGGGAAATGGACAAAGATAGAAACATCAATGATGACAGAGAATTGTTGATGGGCTGCCTCCTGCATGCCCCACACTGAGGATTGAGCCAGCAACCTGAGCATGTGCCCCCAACCAGTATCGAACCTGGGACCCTTCAATCCCCAAGCTGATGCTCTATCTACTGAGCCAAACCAGCCTGTGCTAAATATTTCCTTTAAAAAGTATTTTCAAGCTGCCCTAGCCGGTTTGGCTTAGTGGATAAAGCGCCGGCCTTCAATTCCGGTCAAGAGCACATGCCTGGGTTGCAGGCTCTGAAATCAATAAAAACAGATCTTAAAAAACAAACAAAAATTAATATAACAAAAATGAGAACAGGACAGTCCCTTTCTCACTGGCTAGGGCTGAGGTCCCAAGACCTGCTTTCTCTTTGTCATACAAGGATATTTGCATGTGTTCCACGCATTAAAGACAGATCAGCACCCACCTGAGGCTCTCCTTGCTGAAATAAGCTCGATGGAGAGGGAAAGGCGATTCCTTTCTCAGGGGGCTCAATGTAAGCCTCCCCCATGAACATCCCACCCCCTGCTCTCAAGCTCACTCTGCCCTTTGGGACATCATTTTCCAAGCCTTCTTCCACGTTCCTGGTTCATGAGATGAAGGGCTGCAGAGTTCCCTTTGTAAGTGACAGGGATGGTCCTGGCTGGGGCCCCAGGGGAGGGGGCCAGGGGTTTGTTGACTGACTGTTTCTGTCCCCCCTCCTCAGTTTGCTGAGAAGTTCCAGGAAGTGAAGGAAGCAGCGAGGCTGGCGAGGGAGAAATCTCAGGATGGCGGGGAGCTCACCAGTCCAGCCCTGGGGCTCTCCACTCATCAGGTCAGTACACCCTGTCCCATGCCTGCCCAGCGATATTGGGGAGGGGGTGGGGTTAGGGTTCCTGCGTTGTGATGTGCTGGTGCCCAGAACCAGATGCTCACAAATTATGGCAGGGGCCACGGAGGAGGAGTGTGGGTGCCATGGAGCATGTCAGGGGGAATGTGGCCTCCTGGAAGTTGAGATGGCTGAGGGGGTGGAGTAAAGAGCTGTTCCCAGGCAGTTTCCCCCATGAATTGACTGTGTAATTTATTAACCACCTACTGTGTGCCAGGCCCAAGGCTGGACTGGGGTTACAGAGATGAAAAGGCAGGCTGGCCCCTGCCCTCAGGGCTCCTGAGGTGAATTCATAACAAATTCAGCTTGGTGGAGAGGGCTTCCTGAAATGGATGTTGAAATCTGGCCCCAGAGGGGTCCTGTTCCTAAGGTTTCAGGTTGCTCCCCATGCCCCCCAGGGCAGATTTCGAGCATCTCTGGGGTTAGACTGACCTGCAGCAGGTTTGCTGCTGGGGATTGGTGAGAGCTCAGGCAGGCAAGGTTGGGGGCCAGAGCCCAGAACTTTGGTCCAGGGGGGCCACGGGGAACCATGGAGGATGGGTGAGAGGGGAAGGGCGCCTGCTCTCAGTCAAGACCTCAGTAACATCAGCCCTGAGCCTAACCATGATCTTCTAACCGGTCTTGACTGACACCCCCCCTCTCGTGACCCCGCTTCTGTCCACACCCTTAGGTGCCCCCGAGCCCCCTCATCAGCACCAATGGTCCCCCCAGCGACGAGAAGCTGTTCCGCAGCCAGAGCGCGGAAGCCCCTGGCCCCGCCGAGCGAGAGCGGCTCAAGAAGATGCTGTCCGAGGGCTCCGTGGGCGAGGTGCAGTGGGAGGCCGAGTTCTTCGCGCTGCAGGACAGCAACAACAAGTTGGCGAGCGCCCTGAGAGAGGCCAACGCGGCCGCGATCTGACCATGGACCCAAAGCCTGGGACCCGGAGGCGGGTGACCCCAACAATCCTGCCCCTTCCGGAGTTCGGGAGCCGACCGCGCCCTTGCACGCGCGCCGCTTTGGCCACGCCTTCCGAGGGATGACCCTGCCCCCGCCCCGCTCACGCCTCCTCCGGATAGTTCTACCCCACGGAGCCTCCCAACCCCACCCCGCCTGGCTGGGTCCCCGTGGGCCGAGCCTGGCTCC